ATTTGTTAGTCTCTAAGGTACCACAAGTACTCTTGCTCTTTTTGAGAAAATTTGCCAAAGATTTCCATTTGTTTTTTATTTTTCCCCCATATGAAATCATTGTCCCTTATGTTATCTGTTTTTCACAGGCCTGCATATAGAGATCTCACTACAGAAATATTTATGCTCCATTTTTCTGTTCCTTCTGTGACAAACTTTTTGAAAGCATATTTTTCAATTGTCAAGATTCTTTATGTGGCGATAAAAGCCACTTGATTTACAGAATCCCAGAATATCAGTCTCTCCCTTTTATTTTTGCATGACAGTCCCAGATCTTAGAGATTGTAGGGCATAATCAGAATAGAAAAAAAAAGTCAAGAATCATTTTAGATAAAGAAAGTCTATAATTGTATTTTTTTTTTGTATTGATCACCTTTGGTGCAAGCTCCTGTTCTTTCTCCAGACCAAATTGTTTTGTATCTTTCCAAAGCTAACTGATAAATGCAGCTAATTGGAGAAGTGTGTAAACTACATATGAACCAAAGACACAAATAGTTATATTTTCAATATTCTATACCTAAATTATAACTGCAAAACATTATTGTACATGTAGCCGAGTATAGCAATGGTTCTCAAACTTTTGTACTGGTGACCCCTTTCACACAGCAAGCCTCTCCCCCCTTATAAATATATATATTTAACACCATTGTAAATGCTGGAGGCAAAGTGGGGTTTGGGGTGGAGGCTGACAGCTCGCGACCCCCCATGTAATAACTTGGCGTCCCCCTGGGGGGTCTCGACCCCCAGTTTGAGAACCCCTGGAGTATACAAATGATTATTTCATGTGTACTTTATTCACACACTCAAATGTGAGATTTGCATGTACAGTTTAGGGCCCAGCTTTTTAAAATGTGGCACAAACTGTCTTTTTCAAACTTCTGTATCAGTTGTGTTCTTTTCTACCAGATAAATGCACTTCCAGCTCACTGTATGGCAAAATCAAGATACATTATCCAGTCTTCAGTTCAGATAGTTAAAAGTGTGTATCCAACAGGGATAGCTACAGGGTAATAACCCATTTTCTTTCCTCTGAAAAGCCCTATTTCAGGTGTATATCAACTATGCAACATACTTTTCACATTTCAGAGAGCCTAAGAAAGGTATAGAATGGTATGAACTTGTAGAGGTAGAATCATTCTTATCTCTGAGAAAAATCCTACCTTTTAGCACTGACATATTTATCTTAAGTAAAAAACGGACACAGTATTATGAATATAGCATTGTATTGTATGACCTTCTTGCCAGTCATGGCTTTCCTTTTTTCTACTAACAAACATAATATTCAGCTATAAATAATAGTTGATTCTCACTGTTTTTAATACAAATTGTTATAGTTTTAAAGAATATTACCCCTTTGGCTTATTTCTTTTCTTTCTTTGTCTGTACCTCATTATTATATCTCCCCCTTCTTTTGGCTTTATGATAAGGTCAGTGAGGAAGTCTTTACTTAAGGCACAGGTCTAGGAATCAAGAGGTCTTGGTTCTCTTTCAGCTGTGCCACAGACTTCCTGTGAGACCTAGGACAAGCCACTTAACCGCTCTCTATCAGCAGCCACATCTGTTAAAGGGGATTTCACCTTTACATTTACCTCTCTCATAGGTGTGTTTCTTCTCTTCCTTTGCCTATTCAGATTGTTTTGAAGTTTAATCCATTTGTGTTTGTAACTCACTTGGAGATCTTGGGAGGAAGGAACAATAGAAAAGCACAGTATCCTCAGTCCTATTTCTAGGCCTTGTCTACACTACGGGGCTAAGTCTACCTAAGTTACACTACTCCAGCTATGTGAATAACGTAACTGGAGTCGATGTTGCTTAGGTCGACTTACCGCGGTGTCTTCATTGCGCTGCGTTGATGGGAGATGCTCTCCCGTTTACTTGCCTAAACTCTTCTCATTCTGGTGGAGTACTAGAGTTGACCAGAGAGCACTCTGCTGTCAATTTAGCGTGTCTTCACTAGACCCGCTAAATCAACACCCGCTGCATCAATTGCAGCAGCGTCTATCTCCCCGGTAGTGAAGACGAGCCCTCAGTAATTCCAAATGCAGATGTCAACAAAATTTGAAGACTATTTTGTGCTTCTTTGGTGGTTTGCATCTGAGGATTCCAAATATTATGAACTAGAACTCAAAAATACCCTTTAGGTAGGTAAGTACATCAGATTGACACACAGAGGTTAACACATGACTTGCCCAAGATCCAACCGGAAGTATGTGGAACAAAGGGCTGAGGGCAGAGGCCAGTTCTTCTGACTTGCTTTCTTTCCTGTGCCTCAGATCTCAAACCAAGCCTAGTCTTGATTTGATTCCCTTATGAGTTTAAGCAGATACTATACCAGGGGTCGGCAACCTACGGCAAGCGTGCCAAACACGGCACGCGAGCCGATTCTGAGTGGCACGCTGCCTGCCCGGTGAGAGGAGGAGGAGGAGGGGCGGAGGGGCCGGAAAGCGCCACGCTGGGGGAAGCAGCGGGGGTGGGGGGAAGCTTGGGCCTGGGGCAGCCAATTTTTTTTTTTTTTTTTTTTGGGGAGACCAGTGGGGGGGGGGGGTCCTGGCCCCCCGCCCTCCCCTGCGGGGACAGGAGGCAGAAGCTTGGTCCTGTGGCAGCCAAGTTTCCCTCCTCCCCTGCTTCTTTCCACAGCTTGGTGCATTCCGGCCCCTCTGCCCCTCCTCCTCCTCCCTCTCCCTGCTGGCGATGGCCCTTGCGAGGGGGAGGGGGAGCGGAGCAGAGCAGAGCCGAGCCAAGTGGCAGTGTGCACACAGCTCCGTAGAGCAGGCAGAGAGAGGTAGGGACGGGCCTGGGGGAAGGGGGTGGAACAGGGCATATCCCTCTCAGCTCCCTGCCATGAGCCGCTCAGGGCAGGGGGCTGGGAGCACCCCCACAAGCCGAGCACCCCAGCCTTCTGCCCTGCACCCCCCACACCCCTCCAACCCTCTGCCCTGACCTCGAGTTGCCTCCAACACCCAGCCTTCTGCCCTGCACCTCCACAGCCCCATCTCTCTGCCCTGACCTCCCCCCAACACCCAGCCTTCTGCCCTGCACCTCCACACACACCCCAGCCCTCTACCCTGACCTTGAGTCGCCCCCAACCCCAGCCTTCTGCCCTGCACACCCACACCCCCCCAGCCCTCTGCCCTGACCTCGAGTCGCCTCCAACACCCAGCCTTCTGCCCTGCACCTCCACACACACCCAGCCATCTGCCCTGAACCCCCCCCACACCCAGCCTTTTGCCCTGCACCTCCACACACACCC